CCATCAGTCAAACTAATACGTCTTCATGTCTCAGCCAAAGTTGCTCATCACATAGCCTCGCGAGCGGCCTGATCCGGAGAGCTTACATGAATGGTTTGCTACACAAGGTAATCAGTCTAGTAATTACGAGGATACTCATCACATGCATGGATAAACAAACCACCTCTGTTATACTCTCATTAAATGGGGTGCACAGATACTTCTGCTTCGGTTTGCCACAGAGTGTCGTGCAGTATGCCTGATTTCAAACCCAGTCAGTTATATTGGTGCCGTGATCTCCGAGTACGAGGTCTAAAGGGGGTGAAATGTAACCAAGGTGGTATGATGAACCATACTCTTTTGATGAGTAACCTTACTGGAGACTTAAAGACTTGTGTTAGCTTCCTGAATTCATCCCTATGGGCTTTAGCTAAGTGGGCTAACAGTCGTGACATGCAGGAGACTTCGTTCGAACCCAGTCAGTCACAAGAGCAAGATTAAATAGGGAGTGGAAAGGCTATCCTTAGAAATGGCTATTTAACTATATTCATATGGGGGCCAAATTACATTTGTTGTGACACTCCTAACGCAGCGTGTGAGCATCTGAGGGGAACAGAAAGCCCATCTGCCAGAACCTTCTGTTTACTACAATGAGCATTTGATTTTATATGTTCTCCTCTACCTTTCCTGGCTGGCAAAGTACCAGGATGTTGTCTCTGGTTTTGAATCTGAGTTTAGAGAACTGAATTTGAAAACTGAATCTGAATGCATCTGAGAAGTTGAATATATGAAACTTTGATTAAATACACCCACCAAATTGAGTAAACATACCTCAGTGTGTTCAAGAACGTTTTTGGGAAATGTGTCGTTCAGTACAAACCGTCATGCAACGTAGCACATGTTGACGCAAACTGAACACACCCCTGGGTTGCATTAAAGTCACTCAATAGTTGCATGATTAAGCCTTGCAGCGTAAATGGTCTTTATGGAAAATATAGTTGCAGACAGTGTGCTCCAACTATGGTGGTTGAGATGGTCATTTTCTTTGGTGCATAGCCACAAGTCACCACCCTGTTTTGACATGAATCAGGGTCATGTTCAGAGATAAACCTTCGGGGGTACTACACAAACTAAATGTTCAGTTTCAAAATGTTCCGTTTCCCTGCCTATTGAACACAACCTAGCTCTCATGGAGGACCTTAAAGAGCGACTGTCCCTAAAAAGCAACTTCTCGTTTTGAAAATGGTCTAAGTAGCATCGATATGAGTCAAACATTTATTTTAGTGTCAAAATTTACTTCAAAAGTGTAAAGTGGGCTCCAAAATTATTGGCACCCCTGACTGGCAATGCACAAAACAATATAATTATAGAGATAAACTCAAAATACCAAAATGTGAAAAATACTGTACTTTATTAAAGTTTCAATGGAACCAACCAAAATCATACAATTATTTAATACAAAATAAATGTCACCAAAATCAAAGTTTCATAATTATTGGCACTCCTCATTTAGTACTTAGTGCAACCACCTCCGGCAAGGATAACAGCATGGAGTCTTTTCCTGTAATGTTTGACAAGGTTAAGGAACACATTTGGAGGGACTTTGGACCATTCCTCTATGCAGATCCTTTCAAGATCTTTCACATTCTTGGGTTGGCGCTTATCAACTGCCCTCTTCAACTCAGCCCACAGATTTTCGATTGGATTGAGGTCCGGCGACTGAGATGGCCATGGCAGAACATTGATTTTGTTGTCACAGAACCATTTCTGTGTGGATCTTGAGGTTTGTTTTGGGTCATTGTCTTGTTGGAAAGTCCACCTACAGCCAAGTCCCAGCCTTCTGGTAGAGGCAACCAGATTGTCAGCCAAAATTGCCTGATACTTGGTGGAATTCATTATGCCATCAATCTTAACCAGTGCCCCTGGACCTCTGGAATTAAAACAGCCCCAAAACATCACTGACCCACCACCATATTTCACCGTGGGTATGAGGTGCCTCTCCTTGTATGCATCTCTGTTTCGACGCCAAACATGCCGATGCTGTATCTGACCAAAACGGTCTCATCTGACCAGAGCGCCTTATTCCAGTCATAATTTAAATGACATTTGGCAAACTCCAAGCGCTTGTGTCTGTGTCTTGGGGTCAGAATGGGTTTTCTTCTGGCAACCCTTCCAAAGAGCCTGTGGTTGTGGAAGTGGTGTCTGATGGTGCTTTTTGAAACCTGGTGACCCCAAGGCCTGCAATTCTTTCACAGTGATTCTTGGGGATTTTGTCTTCTCACCATCGTCCTCCCTATCCTGGGGGGCAAAATGCATCTGCGTCCTCTACCCGTGAGGTTTCCAACTGTTCCATATCTTTTAAATGTTTTAATAATTGCCCTGACAGTGCTCAGTGGTATATTCAATCGTTTGTGGATCTTCTTGTAGCCATTACCAGATTTATGAAGGTCTACAACCATCTGTCTCTTTTGAAATGTCAGTTATTTTGTTTTCTTCATGGTGTTGGATGACAAAGGGATATTGCATGCGTGTCACCTCATTTTTATACCCTAATGAAACAGGAAGTGATGTAATGGCTCAATGTAGTTCCTTAAGACTTAAACTTAATTTAATTCCTGGTTTAATTTTGGTAGATGTTATTTACAATCATCTTTAAGGGTGCCCATTAATTGTGAAACCTTGATTTGGAGGACATTGATTTTAATTAAATTAATAAATAATTTTGGTGGGTTCCATTGGAACATTAATATAGTACAGTATTTCTCACATGTTGGTATTTTGAGTTTCTCTATAATTATACTGTTTATATTTTTTAAAGTATTGTTTGTGCATTACCAGTAAGGGGTGCCAGTAATTTTGGAGCCCACTGTAGGTTAATTTGTCATAAAGTCAGTCTCGTCCAAAACGGATATTTGCGAGATGATACAAAATAAATAAAAATGATGTCACGGAATGAAGGCTATCTTAACAGTTTTCCGTGGGTTGGGTTTATTTTAACCCTGCCCACAGCTGGCAGCACCCAAGTAAATCATCAATTCGGACCACAGCTGCACACTACCCAATCATAATGCCTATGGGGCTAGTTAGGGACCATCAGTAAATTACACAATGTACATAGGTCAATATTTTTAAAGGGTCAATATCTCAAAATTTCAATGATTTTAAAACCTCTAACCAAATATAAAATTTTAGAAATTCATATACAAATATTGAAAGCATTTAATGAGACAACTATTAATGAGAAAATATTTTTCCATTTACATTGTGTAATTTATTGACGGTCCCTACTATTCCCAGAGATAGGCTATCCAAAGTCAAACCAACTTTGCCACGGTAGCACACCAGCTGGCTGAAGCTAATTGGCTAACTAATTTGGCTAACTGTTCCCATCTGCGAACACACAAATCAAACCAGACCACGAACCAACTCATGTTTGAATTCAGTCATGGCCACTAGCATTTCTTAATGAACCAAGTCTAAAACAATGCCAAATTAGGAAGTGCAGTTGCCTTTTAAGACCAAAGATCTAGTACATGTTTAGATATAATCCAGTTCACCCAGTCTGTAACAAGTGGGTTTGAGGCAGCAGTAATGAAAAGGACTTGGTGCTATAGAAACCAAGAGAGAGAACATGAAGGTGATTTCTGGTCATGCTCATTAATTACAGGACCTAACTTTTCCAATGGAAAAGGTAAATGAAGTAAAGGACAGGTAAATTACTTTACTGAACAAGTTCTGGTAAAAACTTTCAAAACGTTTCACACCATTCTACCATAATGAACGAGAACCCAAAGAATTGGTCTTCTCTCCAAGAATTAATGAAAGGGAGTGTAAATAATAAAACAGTGATTCCCCTCACAACAGAGGAGAACAAAGCTTGTTAGTGTGCTTATGTACACAATTTTGAAGTTTTGAAAACTTAAAATGAGTGTATGCATCAACAGTATACCTGGATTTAGAGTTTTGGTTTATTTTTAAAATAATTTAATGTCCAACTATGACTTAAAAATCAATACCACTCAAATCTAGTCCTGGGCCTAGAAAGAATACACAATACTTATGAAGGACATGCTCCTAGAGAAAGTACGATCACCTATGGCCGCAAATATTGAGGCAGTTTAGCCTATAATAATGCACCAAACCAGATTTGGCACATCTTACAGTAGCCTACAATTAGCTAAATATAACTCAATTGATTAAACAAGAAAGTGATTTCAATATGACTGAAATACGTAGTCTAATATCTATCTTACAATATAGTCATCTCGGTTTTCATTTTAAGCCTGTTTTGTCATTGCTTCGCTTGTTTGTAGCGTTGCAAACTTTGTAGACTATATGTATTCAACTATGAAGTTAACAGCGGTCAAAGAGACAAACACTTTGTGTTTAACTGAGATAGTGTGTAAAGTGATGCGGGAGGGTGAAAGATCTGACACACTTTAGCTATTCTACGAGTGGTCTGAAGCAGTTGTTAGATTACGAGTGTTTTCAAATGCAAGTTAGTAATGATGGTTTTGGGAAACAGCTCTGAGATTTACTGATGCTCCTACGAAGTTTCTAACGAACTTGGGAAACCCGGCCCTGGAGGCATGCAGGCTTTTGTCCTCTCATTCAATCTGGTTAATCGGTGTCAAATCATGTCAATTGGAAATGGTCCCTCTCAGAAATTGGAAAATGTTCTGGGTTTGGGGCTGTCCAAGATCTCAGTCATATAATATGACCATGGTCTTGTTGGATATGCTTACATTTAAGTTATATTCATATATATATATATATATATATATATATATTTTATCAGCATACAAAGAGAAGCCAAGCCCGGTGTTCTTACCACATTAAGTCTGTGCCATCTCTAACATGTGGTCCCACAGTTGTGGTCCAGGAGAACTAGCGGCTGCAGGTTTGAGGAGTGTCAGAGCATGAAGGATCGATTGAGCAACACAAGGCCTATGGGACTGCCAAATCTGACCATGAACCAGTTGCCACTGTCAGTACCACTCACCTTTTGTTCAAACAACCAGTTACTTCTGATCCAAGACCAGAATCCCTGGGTACCAGAACCAGGAGTAAGGGGATTCTATGGGCACAAATCAAATGCAAAAATAGGTGAAATATGTATATACATAAAGCAGTCATCACTGGCCCCCTTGTCACTATAAAATGCAGCATCTCTCTCTAATCCTCTTGGCCAAACTTATCCTTTTCTTCTTGCCGTTTTTCTCTTTACTGTCCTCCATCTTTCTCGCTCGGATTTCTCTCATCAAGTCAAAGAATACCTGCAAAGACGAGTATAAACACAGTCCGTCTACAGATATGGCATCATGTTACTATGTAACATCCAAGACAACCTTCTCTGCAGTTTGTGAATGTAGAGGAGCTGGGAGCAGACTGCTGAGCCCTGGTTGGTAGATGCAACCCACCTCAACCCGTCTGACTCACCTTGTCGACATTGGCACGGGTTTTGGCAGAGGTCTCCACGTAGCACACGCCCCACTGCTCAGCACGCGCCTTGGCCTCTTCCGCGCTGACCTGCCGCCGGTCCTCCAAGTCAGACTTGTTCCCCACCAGGAGGAAGGGTGCACTCTCATCCTCCTTCACCCGCAAGATCTGCTCCCTGCAGAGCAGAGTCATTAGATGACAGTGGACCTATGACATTTAACAACTATGGGACTATGACATGTAACCACATGGAGTTGTCGTGCTGCTCAACCTGAAGTCTGCTGTAGCTGCAAACGACTCTGCCTCAGTGATGGAGAAGACACAGAGGAAGCCCTCCCCACTGCGGAAGTAGTTGTCCCGGATGGCAGCATAGTCCTCTTGTCCTGCAGTGTCCAGGATGTCTATCTGGACCTCCTCCCCGTCCAGAACTACCTTTTTCCTGTAGCTGTCCGCTTTGGTTGGTTCATAGTCCTCAACAAACTAAGGGGGTAGCATCAACACACAATCAATTACTACCAAGTGAGTTTATGCACACAACCGCAAAATTGGGGTAATGAGATAAGCCTAGATCAAGGCCGGCCAAACTGACGTTTGGTTTAGACCGCCAGAAGGTTCCTGGAATATTTTTGTATCTTGTCAACTGAACGTGCCGCTTAGTTCATAGAACCATAGTTACGTGAGTAAACTCAGATATCCGCCATAGCGGTTTCATACAGACAGAGCGGTTTCAGTTCTCTTTGTACAAATTTGGCTTTAACTTTTGAACGGTTGTGACACGTACATGTTTTCTTTTTGGGGGGGGGGGGGGGGGGGGGGGGATTCTCTACAGCGCTCACCAGTCGAGCAGGAGACATAAGGGACTTCCTTTCTACACAAACAATAATTACCTGATGAGCTTCCCTGATGTTTTCCTGAACTTCCCAATACATTTGATGCATTTCAGTCACATACTGATGCAAATAGTAACTCCATTACCATATTCAAGTTATGACATATTTTCTTATTAGCCTTATGAACATAGAAATGTACCTGCAGTTTCTGTGCTACAATGGTTAAAAAGACCATAAAATGAAAAAGAAAATTGGATATCGGTATCAGCCCAGAACATCCACATCGGTGCATCCCTAACTTGAACATCTAAATTCAGACAGAATGTAGAAATGATAATGGACCTATATATTTTGAAATAACTTCTGGATAACAGATGTTTATGGCCTACAACCAACTATCTAGGCCAGGGGTGGCCAAACTTTTTGGCTCGAGGGCCAAATCTATATCCATCTATCTATATATTGATTTGGCACTCGAGCCAAAAAGTTTGCCCACCCCTGGCCTAGTTGGATGTAGGCCAAAAACGTATGTTATCCAGAAGAGAAGTAGGCCTCCCAAAACAGCCAACCTTGACTGAAAAACATGCTCTTCTGACAAATATTATTTCTTACCTCGTCATACATGAACTGCAGAGTGAGGGCTGACTTCCCCACTCCACCACTGCCCACCATGATCACTTTGTGGAGGGCCAGAGAGTTCTGTCCTTTGGGCTTTGCTGCTGCCATGGTGGTTCACTCCAAGTAGAGAGGGATTAAGGAGAGGAAGAGGTTCGGGAAGAAACCAGGAGGGGGAAGAGGGAGGATCGGAGGGTAAGACAGAGATTGGACAGCAGACTCCCAACTGCAACGTGAGGCAGATTGAGCTTGTCCCCTAGAATGAAAAAAAAAAAGGAGACATAACATGACGAGTTGCAGTATATTAAAGACATAATTCACACCGCTGCATTGTGCACTACTGCCACAAGGGAGCACTCTCACAGCAGTTTTAAGACAAACTTGGCTGGATCAATGAAAAACTGAGAATTTAGAAAAATGTATGTTGACATTTCAAAACATTTTACGTTACAGCCTTATTCTAAAATGGATTTAAAAAAGGTATTTTCCTCAATCTATACACAATACCCCATAATAACAAAGCAAAAACAGTTTCCTAATATTTGCTTATTTATTACAAATAAAAACAGAAAAACCTTATTTACATAAGTATTCAGACCCTTTGCTATGAGACTCGAAATTGAGCAAAGGTGCATCCTGTTCCATTTATCATCCTTGAGAACCATCCCTACGGTGAAGCATGGTGGTGGCAGCATCAAGCTGTGGGGATGTTTTTCAGCGGCAGGGACTGTGAGACTAGTCAGGATCGAGGGAAAGATGAACGGAGCAAAGTACAGCGAGATCCTTGATGAAAACCTGCTCCAGAGCACTCAGGACCTCAGACTGGGGCGAAGGTTCACCTTCCAACAGGACAACGACCCTAAGCACACAGCAAAGACAACGTAGGAGTGGCTTCGTGACAAGTCTCTGAATGTCCTTGAGTGGCCCAGCCAGAGCTCGGACTTGAACCCGATCGAACATCTATGGAGAGACCTGAAAATAGCTGTGCAGCGACACTCCCCATCCAACCTGACTGAGCTTGAGAGGATCTGCAGAGAAGAATGGGAGAAACTCCCCAACTACAGGTGTGCCAAGCTTGTAGCGTCATACCCAAGAAGACTCGAGGCTGTAATCGCTGCCAAAGGTTCTTCAACAAAGTACTGCGTAAAGGGTCTGAATACTTATGTAAATGTGATCTGTTTTTTATTTTTAATACATTTGCAAACATTTCTAAAAACCTGTTTTTGCTTTGTCATTATGGGGTATTGTGTGTAGATTGATGAGGGGGGGAAACTATTTAATCCATTTTAGAATAAGGCTGTAATGTAACAAAATGTGGGAAAAGTCAAGGGGTCTGAATACTTTCCGAATTCACTGTATGTCCTGATTCCAAACAAGGATTGGTTAGCATTCCGTCCATTAAAAATAAGAAATAGGACGCTGTAAGGGAAGAAAGAGAGCGGCAATGTGTCAGGGAAATAAAGATCTAAGCTAGGTTCAGTGGAACTAAGTGAAATGTCAAGTGCTGTATGGTGTTTTTGATACAGACGTGGGCGTAATGCCCTACATGTGTATCTAAGTGGAAGAAAGCGCCATCTCTGCTTCTAGAAAAGCAGGGCTACTGCATCAAGACGCAAACCGTCCCATATGGCAACAGTTTATTCCTTGACAAAACACTGAATAACGTTAGAGGCTAGGTAGTTAGCTAATGTTACCAGGACACAACGAACTGAAAAGCCCTTGCTAATAAATATTATAATTAGCTAGAGTTAAGAAAATGCTAGCTAGATTGTTTCACTGATTTAGCTAGATAACGTTAGCTACCTGCCATTTCACTAGGAAGCCAACCTAGCTAGCTAGTTAACGTTAGCTCGTTTTGCAGACGCTAAGCAAGCTAACGTCACCTAGCTAAGCTAGTTATCGTAGTTGGCTACATTACAAACTAGCTAGTTTCCCATACTAAAACAACGAGATGTACTGTAGCTAGCTAGCTACTTTAGCCAGGTGACTAACGTTAGCTAACTTGTTCTTCAAAGTGCGGTAGAAGGTTGGGCTAGCTAGCATGCATGCATTGGAAATACCCTTACCTTGGGACAATTTGGGCGACACAGGCTACAAAAATGACAGCTGGTAGCGAGGAAATCGTTCATTTATCCTCTTCTCGCGATCCTGGCAACAAGACAAGAGCCAGTCAAGTCTTCTTCGTTGGCATCTTCTTCTTCTATGATATCATGGTGGTCCGCAAACTATATTTTAAGTCATGCCGCCACCTCCTGTGCTGGAATGTACGATCAATCATGATCTGTCCAATTCTGTATTACCATGAAAATTCAAAACCAAATAAATTCCTAACTTCTACCACACCCTCCCCCCTCCCGAACCCCATTAAACTTGATCTATATCATGCTGAAACACTCCACCCTTAGGATTGTTCAGCATGTCAACAACCATTTCAACAGTAACATCTGTTACCCCCAATATCTATTTGCCGTCTCCACAATAACCTTAAACCTGGCATTTCTGCTTTCCACAACCCGAGTCGTATTGATAACCTTACCAATAAAAGCTATGAAGTCAACTTTATTCATTATCAAAGTGTCCTTTGACACCGCACATTCTGAACAGGCCTCGAAACCATGCCAGGACCATCAGAAGCACCAGCCCGACAGTAAATACACATACTACAGGTACATCCATGTAAACTCCATCAATCTACACTGTAGTTCTACCAATCTGTTTTAAAGCCTCTGCATACGATACATCATGACTGATCCTATATCTCTGAGCTTCTCTACCCTCTCTCTGTACCTGACATCCACCAAATGCTGCACTGTGTTCTCCCCCACAATTACAGCACTTAACCTTCACATTTTTATTTTTTTATTTAACCAGGTAAGCCAGTTGAGAACAAGTTCTCATTTACAACTGCGACCTGGCCAAGATAAAGCAAAGCAGTGCGATAAAAACAACAACAACACAGAGTTACATATGGAATAAACAAAACGTACAGTCAAAAATACAACAGAAAATATATATACAGTGTGTTCAAATGTAGCAAGTTATGGAGGTAAGGCAATAAATAGGCCATAGTGCAAAATAATTACAATTAGTATTAACACTGGAATGATAGATGTGCAAGAGATGATGTGCAAATAGAGATACTGGGGTGCAAATTAGCAAAATAAATAACAATATGGGGATAAGGTAGTTGGGTGGGCTAATTTCAGATGGGCTGTGTACAGGTGCAGTGATCGGTAAGGTGCTCTGACAACTGATGCTTAAAGTTAGTGAGGGAGATAAGAGTCTTCAGCTTCAGAGATTTTTGCAATTCGTTCCAGTCATTGGCAGCAGAGAACTGGAAGGAATGGCGGCCAAAGGAGGTGTTGGCTTTGGGGATGACCAGTGAGATATACCTGCTGGAGCGCATACTACGGGTGGGTGTTGCTATGGTGACCAATGAGCTAAGATAAGGCGGGGATTTGCCTAGCAGTGATTTATAGATGGCCTGGAGCCAGTGGGTTTGGCGACGAATATGTAGTGAGGACCAGCCAACAAGAGCGTACAGGTCACAGTGGTGGGTAGTATATGGGGCTTTGGTGGCAAAACAGATGGCACTGTGATAGACTACATCCAATTTGCTGAGTAGAGTGTTGGAGGCTATTTTGTAAATGATATCGCCGAAGTCAAGGATCGGTAGGATAGTCAGTTTTACGAGGGCATGTTTGGCAGCATGAGTGAAGGAGGCTTTGTTGTGAAATAGGAAGCCGATTCTAGATTTTACTTTGGATTGGAGATGCTTAATGTGAGTCTGGAAGGAGAGTTTACAGTCTAACCAGACACCTAGGTATTTGTAGTTGTCCACATACTCTAGGTCAGACCCGTCGAGAGTAGTGATTCTAGTCGGGTGGGCGGGTGCCAGCAGCCACACCCGTCGCTATGGGCGGGCCATAGGGGGCCGCGCCCGCCCCCCAAAATGCTTGTGCCCCCCCCCACTTGAGGGAATTTATTATTAAATATACGTACTGTAGGCTAATAATAATTGTGCCCTGCCCTCCCATGCATTTCATATGCCCCCCTTAAGACTGAGGTCTGGCGACGGGTCTGCCAGCAGCGTTCGATTGAAGAGCATGCATTTAGTTTTACTAGTGTTTAAGAGCAGTTGGAGGCTACTGAAGGAGTGTTGTATGGCATTGAAGCACATTGCTTCCACATTCACCGTAATCATGTGCCCCTCCACACTTGGCACATCTTTTATTTTCTTTACACTGAGCAGCTACATGTCCCATTCTTTGGCATTTAAAACACTGCAGTGCATATGGGACAAATTCTCTAACATTCAAACTAAGGAGTCCTATCTGTACTTTTCTCTGCAAGACTTTCTCAAACCTCAGCATCACTGATAAGCTTTCACTTCTTTGACCCTCTTTCCTACTGATCAACCTTTTGGCCTCAATCACTCTGCCTCCCTTCACATTTTCACATTATCTGTGGACATAGATATTGGGACCCCAGTGATGACTCCCCTCAATCTAGCATAAGCACCAGGGACATGGCTTTTAATCTTCTTCCCATTAAGCTTTTCCATTTCCAAAATATTCTCTTGCTGAGCCTGGCTACCACACAATATTAACAATTCGCATTCCAGCACAGCTGTTGCTTCACAAACTTTTTCTCCATTTCCTCCATTTCGTCCGCACTACTCGCCGCCAATTCCCATTCCCCAAATGGGAATCCGACCACCTCTTCTTTGGTATAATGGCGTTCGCAACAATTATATGTGCATTCCACCACCTACTTTACAGGTGGATAATAAAGATCCCAAAAAGGAAATAATGCAGGGTAAAGATCATATATATATATATATAAAAAAAATACAACAATTCCATGCAAACTATCAATAACAGAATTTAAATGAAACTAACTCTGCCTGCTTTTCTGTTCTAATCAGGTCCCTACACAGGCTCAGAAGGATCCCGTGAGGGCGGGACATTTTCTGGCGACAGTAGTCCTTGCAGTGCTTCTGCCGTGAAGTCTTGGAGGCCTAAAAACTTCTCAGCTGCAGATATAATGATGTCCAGCTGCTTGGGCTTCTTGGATATTTGTGCAGTACAATTAATAACGGAGGCTATAAATGCTACAAAATCCACCATCTTCACAATAAATGTATTCAGATAATTTGACTGACGTATAACATTTGCAACTGGTTGCGGTGCATCCACCGCCATATCTTCTTCAGAACTGTGGCCTCTTGCCCCTTCAACTCTCCTCACTGCCTCCACATAGGAGATGTGCTGTACAGCCATGATCCTTGGCACATCAACCTCTTTCACCTTAACAAGGCACTCAGGGAATTCGGGAATATGATCCCCACCACAGTTGCAACATTTTACATTCACAGACTCTTCAATAACATATTCCTTCCGTCTGCAAACATTTGACACGTGGCCAAACTTTGTACATTTCTTGCATTGCATTGGGTATTGCACGAACGCTCTTACGGCATATCTTATATATTCCAGCTTTACAAAGGGTGGTAGATACTCTTCATCAACCATCAATAATAGAGATACACTTTGCTCCTTTTTCCCATTCTCCATATGGGTCAAGCAACGTGCATGAACTACTCCTGGACATTTTTGCCTAAGATATTGATTATCAATGTCCAACGGGACGCCAGAGATAACACCTTTTACCGGTGCCCTGCTCCGAAAATCAAAGCTGTCCACGATATTTTTGCGACCCACAATGCACACTCCTTTTGCTCTTTAGATACACACAATATCAACACCATACCACTCCTGGTTACTTTGACTGCATCCACTTTTCCCAACGCCTTCTTCACCATCCTCGTGACTTCAAAAGGGTTTCCCAAATGAACAGCCTTATTCAAAATACGTACTCCGACCTTTTCGAATCGACTCTACAAACTAGACGGGTGGGAGTATTTGAACATTGATGACAGACACTGTCAAAATAACAAATAGATTATCTAAATGGCCAATTCACTACATGCCGAAAAGGACAGTGTCAATAATTCCTAACACAACTGAGTTTAGAGAGCCCTGGCACAACAGGTCACTCAAGCCTAATCTCTCCTGAAAATGAGCAACCAGGGCCACGTTCAGTAGCCAAATGTTGTCGAACGTTACAGATAGAAATGCCATGAAGAGAGACAACATTAGGACCGGCTCCAGGAATAAGCGACAAAAGCGGTTGCTTAGGGCCCCTGGCCGCCAGGGGATTTTTGGGAACTCAGTCCGGGTCTCAAATTACTGTTGAGAGTTAGAATAGTAGAATACACAAGGTGCACGTTCGACATTTGGTTGTGCATCAGCAAGTTCTCTCTTGTTATGTCAGTCACTTAATTAGCCATGTCAGCAAACAATGTTTAGATTGGTAAGTTAGTCTAGCCAGCTATCTAAACTTGTAGTAATCATGGCCGAATACCGACCGGTACTAACCGGGCACGCAGGTCATGCCCACTCATATAGGTCATGCTCACTCATATATCATTAACATGGCATAAGTCATGGCAAAATGTGTAAAATTGCAGGAAATTAGCTTTAAAATTGCAAAAATTATCTCTGACCCATGGCAAAATGAGTAGAATTACATGAACATTGTTATGAAATTGCAAAATGTTCTCTCCGCCCCATGGTAAAATGTGTAGAACTGCTGAAAACTTGCTTTAATACTGCAATATTTTCTCGTCACCCCATGGCAAAATGTGTAGAACTGCAGGTGACTGTAAGTCGCTTTGGATAAAAGCGTCTGCTAAATGGCATATTATTATTATTATTATTAAGAGGGTGGCCACTAAAATGTTTTGCCCGCGAGGGGAGCGGGGGCAACCAAATCTCGCTTAGAGCCCCCAAATGGCTAGACATGATTCCTTGTTCTACTGCTGCATTTACACAGGCAGCCCAATGCTATTATAGTTTGCCCAAATATTGGCAAAAGAGCTGATCTGGTTGGTCAAAAGACCAATTAGCTAAAAAAAAAGATTGGAATTGGGCTGCCTGTGTAAACGCAGCCTAAATGTCAGAGAGGCATGTTTGTTCTAGCTTACATAACATATTTCTATCTGAACGTTACAAAACATTGTTTCCTGCTGAACGCTCCCCAAGTACCAACCAGAACAGGTTAGGGGGATACTTCGGGATTTTGGCAATGAGGCCCTTTATCTACCTCTCCAGAGTCAGATGTGGATACCATTCTTATGTCTCTGTGCCCAGCATGAAGGAAGTTAGAGGTAGTTTTGCAAGCCAACGCTAACATACTGGACACAGAGTCATAAAAATGGTATCCACGAGTTTGTCTGACTCTGGGGAAGTAGATAAAGGGCATTTTTGCCAAAATCCCAAAGTATTAAAGCCTGACACTGGGATATCCAAAATGCAAATAAACCGGTATTTCATCATTTAACATGAATATTTCACTAAATAAATCAATACTTCTCAATAGTTATTGTATCAATGGCCAATGCAAAGGCTATTACATTTCACAATATCAGGATATAATATCACATAAACATTTAAAGCTGCAATATGCAATTTTTTGGGCAACTCACCAAATTCACATAGAAATGTGTGTTGTAGATCTGTCATTCTCATTGAAAGCAAGTCCAAGAAGCGGTAGAACTGTTCTATGTGCGCTATTCCTATGTTCTCCGTTCTTAAGTTTAATTTGCTTGTTTCACTTTCAGTTTTGTACAACAGCTTCAAACAGCTGAAAATACAATATTTTTGGTTATGGAAAATATGTTTCACAGCGGTTTAGATGGTACAATGATTTTCTAAACTATACTTGCTTGTTTTGTAAAATAAAACTGAAATTAGGCAAACTATTACAATTTTAGCAACTAGGAAATGGCGATTTCTGCATAGATTTCTGCATAGTGCATCTTTAAGGAATAAAGACATTAGGAAACACACCCTTCAACATAGAACAGCCCTAATGAAGATAACTTAATGTAGGTAGGCCGTGACTGGCCTCACACCTAAAAGTTGGATGCAATCCGCCAACCAAATTCCAAAGAAGAAGAAAAACAAAGAACATTATTAAGTGCTTGCACCTGCTGGATAACTATGTGGACGTGACCAATATATGCGCACTCTGCAATAAATGAGTCCAGTCCACAAACAATCCGCGGTGAGTAAGCTACAGGTTGGCGATATGCAATCTATACTCTAAATAGCCTAAACAGTGTTACAATTGGAATGTGCTTGAAATCGTTAGACAAATGAACAAACATTAGCAAACAGTATGTGTTTGGCGCGAAATGAAGGGATGGGGTGATGAAATAATGTATATAAACCCTGGATGTGATTAATATGTATTGGCCAATGAGAGTCTTTGAAGCCACCTGTAGGCCATATTGGCACTCCCCAGATGAGGCAGTCCTCCATAGGAATGAATTAATTCCAAAGTATTTCAATGTATCAAGGACAAAATTACATATACCGGGTATGTAAGTATTTTTGTTTTTGTTTTATTGCGGACAGTGACATTTTAAATATTCAAAAAATTATACTTTAAAAATGTTTTATATTTTTCATTTGTTTAGCTCACAATATAATTTAAATATTAAGGTGTCTGTAAAATAATTAACGTACAATTATTATTTTTGGACATTAATTAATGCATTTCTATAGCTTCCAAAATACTTTTCACGACGGTGGGGGAGTGCCAAAATGGAGGCGCAGGGTCTTCAAAACAGCTCCCCCTGTCAGTCATCTACTGTGTATATTTAAATCATTGGTGTCCTGTCCGACTTGATGGACGCTCTCCTGTGCGCGTCATCACACCATTTTTTTTTTGTTGTTGACCTGTTTCAGAGTAGGCTTATTTTTGAGGGAACCCAACAGTTTATTTCATTCTGAAACCGCATCTGCACCAACTTCTGGTTCAAGATGGAATTGAAGATGGCAGGTGAGAGATGTGCTTGGCTAGTCTGATTAATTAATTGGTATATACAGCCTGAAACTAATGACTGCAAAATCGTGTAAACGTTCCTTACAAGGCACAGTGTTTAATAAAAATTACATCTGAACTTATTCTACTGGTTGTCCGTGGTGTTGGTATTTCAAATGGTCGAAATTTTTGACAAAATATCCCCAGGAAAGTATTGTTTACTTGACTTTTTAAAGCGCTGGTACTGAAGTAGAAATTTCTATCAACTGGCACATGCGCAAAAGCATGTAAACACCTGCTGACTTCAGTTAGTATGCATGCATTGGGTGCATGTAGGCTACTTCCATCTTGTGCACCTGCCTTCGGTCATGAGCAAACACCTGTGCACATGATGCATGCATACTAACTGAAGGCAGCAGGTATTTACATGGTGTTGCGCATGTGCCAGGTGATAGAAATGTAAACTTCAGTACTGTGCACTAAAAAATCGTGTAAACAATACTTTCCTGTGGATATGTTGTCTCAAATTGGGAGGGGCTGAAGGACAAACTGTACAGACAACACAAGAGTAAGTTCAAACGTATTTTATTCAACATTCTGGCTTTTAAAGAACAATTACACAATTTTGCAGTCATTAGTTTCGGGCTGTATACCAGCTAATTGTGCATTACAGCCTGCTCAATCAGACTAGTGCTTGGTGAACTAATGTAATTCAGAGAGGGAAACAGAGGTAAATATTCAATATGTTGTAATTGAGGGAAGAAATTGAATGCAGATATTTAACTAATAGAGGCTCAGCCTGGTGTTTGACCCCATTCACACCACACACAAGGCAATTGTTATTTCCAGTCTGCTGTCTTCTGTTTGATGTCGCCATACAATGTTTTTGTATCTTAAGCTCTTAATTTTCTGCCCATCAGTGGTTGGGAGTAAATCCTTCATTTCTCACCTGCACACAAAATATGCAGAAAAGACATGGAATGAGACCTTTAAACTGGTTCGCAGGTGTATGGTAAGTATTAATGAAATATTTCTGAAATAATCCTCCAATGTCATATGTTTCACCTAGCCCAGGTTCAAGACAGAGTTTGTATCTCAGTCTAGCAGTATAACACTAACCCACCATGCAACTTATTTACCAACCTGATTCTGTGCCTGTTTGGCAATGCTTTTCCCACTTCGGAGGGTAAGTCAGTGGGTTGGTAATGCATCATTTGCATTTGCTGAGCAGTGCCCGTGCAGAAAATAATTTAATCCAATTGTTAGATGTCTTTGCCTGACAAGGTCAAGTTAGGATGTGTCAGTTATCCTGTGAGAGCTTTTGTTCTGAAAATATTACGGTGTTTTAGGTGTCAAGCTTATGTCATGTTGCAGCAGTGTGTAGGAGGGAGATTCCTAGATGTGTGCAGGAGGGCATGAGACAAAGGAATGCATAGTATTGGTGGAGAAAGTTGTTTGTGTGTGTTAGCTGTGGGGGTGCCCAATGGGCTGGAGATCAGAGATGGCTGGTGAGAGAAAGGCAGGTTGAGGTTGCCAGGGTCAGAGTACATTTACATTTACATTTTAGTCATTTAGCAGACGCTCTTATCCAGAGCGACTTACAGTTAGTGAATACATATTTTTTTTATACTGGCCCCCCGTGGGAATCGAACCCACAACCCTGGCGTTGCAAACGCCATGCTCTATCAACTGAGCTACATCCCTGCCGGCCATTCCCTCCCCTACCCTGGACGACGCTGGGCCAATTGTGCGCCGCCCATGAGTCTCCCGGTCGCGGCCGGCTGCGACAGAGCCTGGATTCGAACCAGGATCTCTAGTGGCACAGTTAGTACAGAGTGGCGTATGCTGAAGCTGTGTAGAGCGTTGTAGAGGAAGTTGGGTACAGGGTGAGGGATCCTGAGAGGATTCCTGTGAGTAGGCAGAGACCAATGGAGAGGGATGGGAATATGTGCTTCAGTAAGGTGGGTTTCTTAGCCATGGTTGTCAACTGTACTGCAGAAATGGAACGTACTGTAAGTCACAGAAAATAGAGGTTGTGGTGGCAGCTGCAGAGAAGTACTTGAGATTGCGAGGTTTTAATGCAGAAGATTTGCAGGGGGTGTTGAATGGTAGTGTTCTGTCCTCCCAGACCGTTGACCTGGAGTAGGATTAGATAGGATTAAATAGTGGAATGGGGTGTTTTTTTTTGTGAGGGCTAATAGTTGGCAGGGTAATTTTGTTAATTAAATGTAGGTAGGCCATGACTGGCCTCACACTCCAGTACAGTAGGTAGCGGTGTATGCACCTAAAAGTTGGATGAGATCCGCCAACCCAATCCCGAAGAAGAAGGTGTGCTCCAAAGTGAGAACACAACATGGAATCCATGTTTGGTTTTGATTTGGAGGTGGGGTGTTAACATCTAACAATTTGATTTATTTCCTGGGCACAGCTCGTCATCGCATTCCCAACCGTCCACTGACTGATAAATAAGTTGCACATTGGTTTAGTGTTTTGCTGCTAGACCGAGATACAACCTTGGTCCAGAACCTGGGCTAATGCTTCACCTAGCTCTTGGTTCTCAGTTGAAGCATTTATAACAGCGCCACCAATGTGTGCAACAGTCCCGATGCTCTGTCTACATGTTAATCAGTGTTTCCCCTATATTCATTTAAATCATTTCTGCCACTCCCAAAAATATATTTATTTATTTCTGCAGAGGCACTTTTAAAGGGGATAGTGCGAGATTTTGGCAATTATGCCTTTTTCTACTTACCCAGAGTCAGATGAACTCATGGATACGATTTGTCTGCACGCAGTTTGAAGGAAGTTACTAACTAGCATTGGTGCAATGACTGGAATTCTATGGGAACATCTAGCATGTTAGCTGTTCCTGTAGAAATGCTTGTTAGCAATGGCTCGCGAAACTACCTTCAACTTCCTTCAAACTGCACGCATTGACATAAATGGTATCCATGAGTTAATCTGACTCTGGGTAAATAGAAAAAGGGTTTAGTTGCCAAAATCTCGCACTATCCATTTAAGATCAATGACAAGTTACAATGTATAGGCAAACGGAACGAGCAGTGGTGCGAATGAGAGCCACGATCACACAGACGCCACTTGCTCCTCCTCATTTCCCAACAGTGCAGTGGCTCGCATCAGTTATATTTCAGATGTTGTCAACATAATACAATTTTCATACATTTTGGAGTTGAATGTGTTTTTTGTTTGTTTTTTTTGTCCTCAGAAGTGACCTCAGTCATTCTACAAAAAAATATCCTGGGGGGCAGGCCCCCGGACCTCCGCAACAAAGCGTGTTAAAACAATCATATTTTGGGGAATTATTTTTTCATATGAAAGTAGAGGGCCTTATGTTTCTAGAACCGTATCGCGATTAAGAACCGATTCACGTTTAGATGGAGTATTTGGCTGTTTTGGCTGCCAGAGCCAGAGCCAGTTTACCTCTGAACATTACATAAGGAAGGGTCTTGGACCTTAATAGAGTAGGCTAGCCTTCACTCCTTAACAGTACATCTTGGGCTAATGCTTCACCAAACTTGTCTCAAGAGGACAAACATCCGTGACTGTTCAGCCACAAGACTTGAAATGCCTTCCAGATGTTGGCATTCCAAGATTATCTTAGCCAGATTAGTATAACTCTACATAACAACTGGTCCCTTATTTGACTATGAGTAACTGGTATGATCTGTCACCAACAGGAATAATTTCCAGTAATAAGTGCCACCCCCTTTCCAACACCTTACCCAGATCTATCATTGTATAGATTCAACGTGAGTGGGGGTACAATTAAAAGCTCTTGTTTGTCATTTTAGAGGATTTTGGAATTACGTCAGTTGGACACTGTCTTTCTGGACTCTGATGTGATGAATCTATCCTGATCGATCCATGGCCATTGTCCAGTTGCACTCCACGACTGGGTATGATTGTGTTGTTGTGTAGCCTCGGAAGGAAGTTCAGCTTGGCAGCAGTCAGTCTCCAGGGCCTGTGGGGGGTTGAGACTGGTTGTTGGGCAGACAGGGATGTGATGTGCGGTCTGAGGGGATAAGGCAGCTGAAGTTGGGCCTGGGCCATGTAGATGTCTGCTCTCAACGATGCTGCTCAGTCTTAAGCCCTAAATACATTCAGTTCCTGAAGACTCCGAAGAGATTAGCTTTCTCATAAACTCTGATGTCATACTATGCAGTAAGTGCTTTCTTTTAGGATACTTGAGCTGCTCAGAAATGTCTTTATCTGTATTTTATAGGACAAATCGAGAGGTGACACCAAACCCTGTGAATCACTGATTAGGTGTCTGAAAATACTCCATGAAGCACTGAATGGTGAAGAAAACATTAGCTATTTATATTCACTACATCAGCTATCAAGGTTAAGTTAAATCTTCTGCATAGACTAGTATCAGTTACAATGCACTCCATTCTAGTTGAAGGTCATCATGCAGAATTATGATTATGGTGTCTGCCATTTGTTAAATGGTCACTTCACTGAAATTATTTCCCAAACTGTTTTCTGTCCTTTTTTCCAGTGTCCTCTTTGAGCACCATGGTATCACGGTTGGAGATAATAGCCAAACAGAGAGGGTAATATGATTCCTTTTGTAATCTGTTTTCATTCTGTAATATAATACAGAGACTCTGTGTCCCTCTACTGGATAATCAAGGGACCTCTACCCATTTTGAATGCTCCAAGTCAGTGCGGCATCTCTTGAGTGTCCTGATTTGGGATGGCAAAATTCTTAGGCCTATACATTATGGAATTCATTTGATGTTAAACATGAACTATACACTAAAATAACCTCATCACACTCTTGTTGTCAGAGACCCTCTCCTCTGGTGTTTGCAATGGCATTTCTCATTATTGAGCCTTGACCTCTGTTTTGTACAGGATGGGGTCCCACCTGAGCCCCACTGAGACAACCTGTTACCTCACAGCCGACATGTTCTACCTAGAGGTCCTACTGTTGCCTGGGGGAGGGGTGGAGGACATCAAGTTGGCCCAACACGGAGAAGCCCCTGTGGTAGTAGACTGATATTGTTTCATTCCTATATAGGAAAACATTTGTAATGGTTCAAATTACTCATATCATATATATTTTTTTGTGTTACAGTCAAGCGAGTCACTTCTTCAACTGCTGAAGTAAGATGTAATACACAAGGTCTGACTAATACAATTTGTCAACTGACAAACTGAGGTCACCTGACATTTTATTTTACGAAGTTCTATCAAAGTATACAATGTTGGCTCTTCAGATTACCCCTATCTGTTTATTACTGCACAGGTCAAAGAAGTTTGAAGAATTCTCAGTGAAACTGGAAGGCCTTTCCTCCCTGTACAACATCCCTGGAGACAAGTACTGCCTTTTTACCACTAGTTGAGATTCAATGTCATTGGCCTGTTATCATGCCGCTAAACCAGTCTAATATCTTTTAGTGAGACGAAGATCAAGGTATACACAGCCCTTCAGTTCTTGGGGAAAGATCTACAAAAGATATCCCATTTGCCAAGGTTAGTGAAATTGAATTAGAATGGCCAAAGTAGACTAGAGAAGGAATTGGGTATCCATCCCAGAGTGAATCTTGCATTTTGCTGTGAGAATTAAACAAGCAAGAGGTTACAGAGGTTGTCTTGAATGAAATCCTATATCATTGTGTTGAAATATTCACAAATGTTTTTCCTCCTTTCAGACCACTAAGGGAGTGCAATCTTCAAGTGGACATGATTCTCAATGGCAGGATTGGATATCTTATGGCAGGGAGAGAAGGTAGGTTACTACTAGAGTAAAGGGAACAAGATCATTGGCCAGAAAGCCCCTAGTTGTTTCTTTAGCTGCTTGATCACCCTCAATGACAAACTGAAATATGCTTTTTTGTCTGTCCTATTCAGGTATCCCAATGACTATCCAATACTACATCAGCCCTTCTGACATTCTGTTGGAGATGTCAGAATCAGGTATGTTTTGGAACATTCGCAACTGCATTTAAATGCTGTTTCTTTAAAAAATTAAAAATAATATGTACTGTTGTATTCTGCTATGGGATTGCAGAGAGGGGCAGTGTTGGCCGGGTGGCCTTGGTGACAGTGGAGCCAACTGACTCTACACACAAGCTCCAGATGGCATCTGTCATCCCACAGCCACCTCAGCTTGACGCCCAGGGGTAACTATCTCAATGTGATTTTAAGTTATAATATTACTATTTTCAAATGATACATTGATATCTGAGGTTTTCTAAATGAACACATGGAATTCCCCATACTAGGATGAAATTCCAAATTAAGACAGCTGTATTAATAAAAAGCTAGTTATTATTTTTGTTTTTTTTGTTTTTTTGTTTTTTGCAGTCTACCATTGTTCAGTCCTCTCTGTGAGGGGCTCTCTGAAATGATGCCAGCCTGCTTCCAGCTCAAACTGCAGCCACCCCTACCAATGCTCTCCTCCTTTGTTGAGAAGCTCAGCCAAATTACAGGTTTGAATGCTTTGATACTCCTATTAGCAAGATTAATGTGTGCTTATAGTCTTATCTGTGAATAAATGGGTCTTCTTGCACTGTAATTCACATTGGGATACCAGACACATTTCAGTTGAATGCATTCAGTTGTACAACTGACTAGGTACCCCCCTTTCCTTCTTCTTGTGATCAAACTGCTACTGTTTCTTAGATGTTGCCATAGCTGATGCTGACCTGCAGTGGGCACCGTTTCCCCAGTTGATGATGAACTTATTAGGGGAAAATGGTGGTGACAAAACATGGGATGGCCAGGATGCCCACTTTCTAGTGGTTTGTATATATGCTTAAACAAAAACAGGTTTTGAATGCTTACGGACTTATAATTTTGCTCTACAACGTATATCATACTGGCACTATATCATTGACAGCTGTGCACAGTAAGACATATGCACCACTTTCTTCTACTCAGCATTCCATCAAAGGTATTTATTTTGACACACACCTGTCCCTTCCATCCAGCCACTCCCAGGTAGAGAGATACACAGCTATGTGCTGCCGGGGGCTGCGTGGGAAGAAGCTTCTCTGAGGGGGGCGCTAGTGAGTACCATTCCCTTCACCCACCCCGCCCATGTCCCTGCCCTACTGGAGCTGCTCCGCCACCAGTGTGCCATCAACACTCTACTGGCCAGCTGCATTACCTCTCACAGGCCCAGCCCAGGTAAGTGAGCAACTGAGCATACATCAGGGTTCTAATCCTACAATCCCCAGATTTCACAGAATACTCTCAAATGATTACATGGATGGCATCTAATGTGTCTAAGTAATCTGATGAGTGGTTGCATCCTTATCTCAAACTGTTCATACGTGTGGCTCAGTTGGTAGAGCATGGCGCTTGCAACGGCAGGGTTGTGGGTTCGATTCCCACGGGGGACCAGTATTGGAAAAAAGTATGAAAATGTATGCACTCACTACTGTAAGTCGCTCTGGATAAGAGCGTCTGCTAAATGACTAAAATGTAAGAGAACATTGTTGACTTGGCTATAACCAAACCCATTTTTCTAGGTCCAGTGTGTGACCTACACTGTGAGGTCCTCCCTGAGTCAGGTTCCAGGCTCTCTGTGACCTTTCACCTATCTGACAGTGACTCTCTATCTGTTTGTGAGTATTTGTTATATCTCTACTCTAGAGGGGTCGGTTTAGCGGAATCACAATAAAGTATGTTGCACTCCATGTTCTCTACTCCGGGTTTATTATGGTGTATTGTTGCCTTGCAGTGCTGGTAAATGTGGCAGACTCCCGGCAGCTCACCTGCAGTCTGTTTGCAGCAGGGTCAGAGGATCCATCCATGGATGAATACATCTCCAGAGTCCTAAAGAGGTTTGATTTTATGTTCAGCCTGTATTCTCCCTCTAGGTCCATCATTCTTCAGTCATACTGCTTAATTTTGTCTCTAGGCAGAGACCACATTCTTGCACTGAGTATTTACTTAATGAATTGTTGGTTGCATGTCTTCGATATTCATCCTCTTGCTCTTCTGATTCAGATGTATGTCTATTCCTGTGACCATGCGTGCCTTGAATGGGAGGATGTCCAAGAGGACCTGTGGAGAACCTCTACCTGCATGCTCCTCCACCGCAGATGGCAGCCCTGCCCCTCTCCCAATGTCCTGTGAGGCTGACGCCAGTCTCTCTTCTGGCTCTGGCCTGGAGTCCGATGGCATCCCTACTACCCCCTCTACCGCTGCCATGTTCTCCCAGGATGCAATGGGGCCGGAGGCAGAGTCGGCCTTCTATCTGTCTGTAGCCACATCTGTCTGTTACTGAAGTCAATACAAACCCTACTGCCAATCCTTACCCCTGTGCCTCGGTGCATGTGTATTCACATTGGATGGCCAACAACCATCTCCCAGAACTCATCTAGAGTCAGTTTGTTGCGTGTGACCTACAAAGGATGTGGGTTAAAATGTTTTTAAGTGATAGCTTTATTTTTTTAGAACCATTCAATAAAAATGAATCTTTTGACCTATTAGCTGTTTTTTGGTAGTCGCCACATCAGCATAATAGGCTTTTAAACTATAATGACTTTAATATAATGTAATTGTAGTGCTTATAACTGTCCCTGCCAAAAACATATTTGAGCAAATAAGCAAGCTCTTAGCACTCTTTTACTTTGTTAGTGGGCTTCAGACGTCGGTGTGTTAAACTTCACATATTAGTCTTAATTCATGACCTGTGACCATAGCATGCACTGTGCATGTATTTGCAATATTTGTAATTACTTTAAACCACAACATGAATATAGTGTGCATTTCTAATAACTCCTCTTACTCTACCAATCATTGTGTGCGGAGGTAAAATTGGTATTAATGCACAGACCAGAGGACTGGTTAGTCACAACCGTTTTTATGGCATTGGCTGCAGTTTCCTTTTATTTGTTCATTTACCTCTCACGCTCGCATGCACATGTGTCAGTAAAACTCTTAAATGAAGGATGTAGAACACATTCTTGGTGTGCATTCCAGTGCGGCAGGAATGGTTGGCTGTAAAAGGTTTGGGGGCTTGGCATTTGACCCCTTCGGAGACAGCCAAATATCCAGTAGAATTATTTTTAAATCCCCATTAGCCGGTGCCAATGGCGAAAGCTAATCTTCCTGGGGTCTGACACAACAAAATACATTAGACAAATACTTAACAATTTAAAAACATTAACATAGACATTAGACTTGCACGCATACATTACTACTACACACATACTGGACAGTTTATTAGGTACACCACCCTGTTCATGAAAATAGATCGCTCCTACAGACAGTGAGTCACGTGGCTGTGGCCTGCTATATAAAGCAGGCAGACAGGCATGGAGGCATTCAGTTACTGCTCGATTGAATGTTCGAATGGGAAAAACGAGTGACCTAAGCGACTGAGCCTTGTATGATCGTTGTTGCCAGGCGTGCTGGATCCAGTATCTCAGAAACGTCCGCCCTCCTGGGCTTTTCATGCACGATAGTGTCTAGGGTTTACCGAGAATGGTGCGACAAATAAAAAACATCCTGTCAGCGGCAGTCCTGTGGGTGAAAACGTCTCGTTGATGAGAGAGTTCGGAGGAAAAGGGCAAGAATCGTGAAAGCTAACAGGCGGGCCACAAACAGAAAAATAACGGTGCAGTACAATAGTGGTGTGCAGAACGGCATCTTGGAACCCACAACTCGTTGATCCTTGCCACGGATGGGCTATTGCAACAGATGACCACACTGGGTTCCACTCCTATCAGCTAAAAACAAGAAGAAGCGGCTCCAGTGGGCACGCGATCACCAACACGGCGGTGGTGTACTGGTGTTGGGAATGTTTTCCTGGCACACGTTAGGTCCCTTGATACCAATTGAATGTTTCCGACACCATGTAGAATCCATGCCCAGAAAAATTCAGCTGTTCTGGAGGCAAAGGGGGGTTCGAGCCAGTTACTAGATGGGTGTACCTAATAAGCTGAAGTTACATATGCCATAACTAGGTCAGATAGGAGTGTGCTTAGTTTTATTTGTTTTTAAAGCACATTTTTCTGTTTGCTTGAGTAATTTGAGATGGCTCTATATAATACTGTGTGTTGCCTTGATTTAGTTCTGTATTTGGGGACTGAAGTAACCCCTGGTGGCATGTCTGGTGGGGTAAGTATGTCCGTCAGAGCTATATGGAAGTTGATTATACAGACAATTTTGAAGACAATATTTATCCTTTACTTAAGCCAAGAGAGGCTGACATGCATACTGTTGACAGCCCTCTTTGTACATTGAAGGGCAAGACGTGCTCCTCTGTTCTGGGCCAGCTGCAGCTTTTCTATACTGAAGAAATATATACAGTGGGGAGAACAAGTATTTGATACACTGCCGATTTTGCAGGTTTTCCTACTTATAAAGCATGTAGAGGTCTGTAATTTTTATCATAGGTACACTTCAACGGTGAGAGACGGAATCTAAAACAAAAATCCAGAAAATCACGTTGTATGATTTTTAAGTAATTAATTTGCGTTTTATTGCATGACATAAGTATTTGATACATCAGAAAAGCAGAACTAATATTTGGTACAGAAACCTTTGTTTGCAATTACAGAGATCATACGTTTCCTGTAGGTCTTGACCAGGTTTGCACACACTGCAGCAGGGATTTTGGCCCACTCCTCCATACAGACCTTCTCCAGATCCTTCAGGTTTCAGGGCTGTCGCTGGGCAATACGGACTTTCAGCTCCCTCCAAAGATTTTCTATTGGGTTCAGGTCTGGAGACTGGCTAGGCCACTCCAGGACCTTGAGATGCTTCTTACGGAGCCACTCCTTAGTTGCCCTGGCTGTGTGTTTCGGGTCGTTGTCATGTTGGAAGACCCAGCCATGACCCATCTTCAATGCTCTTACTGAGGGAAGGAGGTTGTTGGCCAAGATCTCGCGATACATGGCCCCATCCATCCTCCCCTCAATACGGTGCAGTCATCCTGTCCCCTTTGCAGAAAAGCATCCCCAAAGAATGATGATTCCACCTCCATGCTTCACGGTTGGGATGGTGTTATTGGGGTTGTACTCATCCTTCTTCTTCCTCCAAACACAGCGAGTGGAGTTTAGACCAAAAAGCTCTATTTTTGTCTCATCAGACCACATGACCTTCTCCCATTCCTCCTCTGGATCATCCAGATGGTCATTGGCAAACTTCAGACGTGCCTGGACATGCGCTGGCTTGAGCAGGGGGACCTTGCGTGCGCTGCAGGACTTTAATCCATGACGGCATAGTGTGTTACTAATGGTTTTCTTTGAGACTGTGGTCCCAGCTCTCTTCAGGTCATTGACCAGGTCCTGCCGTTTAGTTCTGGGCTGATCCCTCACCTTCCTCATGATCATTGATGCCCCACGAGGTGAGATCTTGCATGGAGCCCCAAACCGAGGGTGATTGACCATCATCTTGAACTTCTTCCATTTTCTAATAATTGCGCCAACAGTTGTTGCCTTCTCACTAAGCTGCTTGCCTATTGTCCTGTAGCCCATACCAGCCTTGTGCAGGTCTACAATTTTATCCCTGATGTCCTTACACAGCTCTCTGGTCTTGGCCATTGTGGAGAGGTTGGAGTCTGTTTGATTGAGTGTGTGGACAGGTGTCTTTTATACAGGTAACGAGTTCAAACAGGTGCAGTTAATACAGGTAATGAGTGGAGAACAGGAGGGCTTCTTAAAGAAAAACTAACAGGTCTGTGAGAGCCGAATTCTTACTGGTTGGTAGGTGATCAAATACTTATGTCATGCAATATAATGCAAATGAATTACTTAAAAATCCTACAATGTGATTTTCTGGATTTGTGTTTTAGATTCCATCTCTCACAGTTGAATTGTACCTATGATAAAAATTACAGACCTCTACATGCTTTGTAAGTAGGAAAACCTGCAAAATCGGCAGTGTATCAAATACTTGTTCTCCTCACTGTAAATGCAAATATGTCAAAGATTTTACTGAGTTACAGTTCATATAAAGAACTCAGTCAATAGAAATCAATTCATAAGGTCCTAATCTATGTATTTCACATTACTGGGAATAGAGATATGAATCTGTTGGTCACAGATACCTTTTTAAAAATGGGCCTCACAATTGGCCTCAGGATCTCGTCACGGTATTTCTGTGCATTCAAATTGCCATCGATAAAAAATTGCAGCCGAATACAACAGGTGCAGACATTACAGTGAAATGCTTACTTACAGCCCTTAACCAACAGTGCATTTATTTTAAACAAAAAAGTAAGAATAAAACAACAACAAAAAAGTGTTGAGAAAAAAAAAGAGCAGAAGTAAAAAATAAAGTGACAGTAGGGAGGCTATATATACAATAGAATAAAGTGACAGTAGGGAGGCTATATATACAGGGGGGTACCGTTGCATAGTCAATGTGCGGGGGCACCGGCTAGTTGAGGTAATATGTACATGTGGGTAGAGTTAAAGTGACTATGCATAAATACTTAACAGAGTAGCAGCAGCGTAAAAAGGATGGGGTGGGGGGGGCAGTGCAAATAGTCCGGGTAGCCATGATTAGCTGTTCAGGAGTCTTATGGCTTGGGGGGTAGAAGCTGTTGAGAAGTCTTTTGGACCTAGACTTGGCACTCCGGTACCGCTTGCCGTGCGGTAGCAGAGAGAACAGTCTATGACTAGGGTGACTGGAGTCTTTGACAATTTTGAGGGCCTTCCTCTGACACCGCCTGGTATAGAGGTCCTGGATGGCAATTGTGTTCGTTGTCTGTAGTTTATGCCTGCCCATACCATAACCCAGTGGCTATTTTAGCATGTCAATCTTGGTGGGGCAAACGCAACTTTAAAAAAAATGCATGCCAGCAAAGCCATTACACAACACAAGACTAAATAATACATTAATTGCACTATAATGGTGACAAACGGTGCCCACAAACTGTTAGGGCCTACATAAAGCTGTCCCAACAGCAGTCGCAACACCTTACCACTGCTACACCTGGCTATCAGCGGAGCCGTGTCTGGCAGCGAAACAGTTAATTCAGCCTCATTTATTGCCTTTTGAAAAAACATAGCTGATATGGCTGACTTGCTTAAACAAATGTGGTTTCTACTGACATTTGAAATGTACAAACTATGGCATAATGGGACGACGAGCGGATAAGAGGCAATCCGTAATTTAGATTAAGACAATGAGCGAGCTAGGACGGACGTAGTCAATATAACTATTTGTTCAGCACTTTTGAAATGTACAGCGACAGAATTCAGAACATGGGCCGTTCTTACAGTATTCTCCTTGTACATCAAGTCAGAACCGTAGGATAAATAAAGGGGGCATATAAGCAGATAATGAAAGCTCTTACAATATTCAATGACATTTCTCTAAAACAGGCTATAGGCTACATGTGCTACGTGTGCACCACCAAGTCAGA